TTCTTTTTATTTTGCACACGCTAGGCCCTTGTTCTTGCTATTTTGCACATGCTAGACCCTTGTTCTTTTTTTTTTTGCACACGCTAGGAACTTGCTCTTGCTATTTTGCACTCGCTAGGCCCTTGTTCTTGCAATTTTGCACATTCTAGGCCGTTGTTCTTGCAATTTTGCACACGCTAGGCCCTTGTTCTTGCAATTTTGCACACGCTAGGCCCTTGTTCTTTTTATTTTGCACACGCTAGGCCCTTGTTCTTGCTATTTTGCACACGCTATACCCTTGTTCATTTTATTTTGCACACGCTAGGCCCTTGTTCTTGCAATTTTGCACATGCTAGACCCTTGTTCTTTTTTTTTTGCACACGCTAGGCCCTTGCTCTTGCTATTTCGCGAACGCTAGGCCCTTGTTCTTGATTTTTTGCACACGCTAGGCCTTTGCTCTTGCTATTTTGCACTCGCTAGGCCCTTATTCTTGCAATTTTGCACATGCTAGGCCCTTGTTCTTGCTATTTTGCACACGCTAGGCCCTTGTTCTTTTTATCTTGCATACGCTAGGCCCTTGTTCTTTTTATTTTGCACACGCTAGGCCCTTGTTCTTGCAATTTTGCATACGCTAGGCCCTTGTTCTTTATATTTTGCATACGCTAGACCCTTGTTCTTTTTATTTTGCACATGCTAGGCCCTTGTTCTTTTTATTTTGCACACGGTATGCCCTTGTTCTTTTTGCACAAACTAGGCCCTTGTTCTTTTTATTTTGCACACGCTAGGCGTTTGTTCTTTTTATTTTGCACACGCTAGGCCCTTGTTCTTGCTATTTTGCACACGCTATGCTCTTGTTCTTTTAATTTTGCACACGCTAGGCCCTTGTTCTTGCTATTTTGCACACGCTATGCCCTTGTCCTTTATATTTTGCACACGCTAGGCCCTTGTTCTTACAATTTTGCACATGCTAGGCCCTTGTTCTTTTTATTTTGCACACACTAGGCCCTTGTTCTTTTTATTTTGCACACTCTATGCCCTTGTTCTTTTTATTTTGCACACGCTAGGCCCTTGTTCTTTTTATTTTGCACACGCTAGGCCCTTGTTTTTTTTATTTTGCACACGCTAGGCCCTTGTTCTTGCTATTTTGCACAGGCTATGCCCTTGTTTTTTTATTTTGCACACGCTAGGCCCTTGTTCTTGCAATTTTGCACATGCTAGACCCTTGTTCTTTTTATTTTGCACACGCTAGGCCCTTGTTCTTGCAATTTTGCACATGCTAGACCCTTGTTCTTTTTATTTTGCACACACTAGGCCCTTGCTCTTGCTATTTCGCGAACACTACGCCCTTGTTCTTGATTTTTTGCACACGCTAGGCCCTTGCTCTTGCTATTTTGCACTCGCTAAGCCCTTGTTCTTGCAATTTTGCACACGCTAGGCCCATTTTCTTGCAATTTTGCACACGCTAGGCCCTTGTTCTTTTTATTTTGCACACGCTAGGCCCTTGTTCTTTTTATTTTGCACACGCTATGCCCTTGTTATTGCAATTTTGCACACGCTAGGCCCTTGTTCTTGCAATTTTGCACATGCTGTGCCCTTGTTCTTTTTATTTTGCACACGCTAGGCCCTTGCTCTGGCTATTTTGCACTCGCTAGGCCCTTGTTCTTTCAATTTTGCACACGCTAGGCCCTTGTTCTTGCAATTTGGCACACGCAAGGCCCTTGTTCCTTTTATTTTGCACACGCTAGGCCCTTGTTCTTTTTATTTTGCACACGCTAGGCCCTTGTTCTTGCTATTTTGCACATGCTATGCTCTTGTTCTTTTTATTTTGCACACGCTAGGCCCTTGTTCTTGCAAGTTTGCACATGCTAGACCCTTGTTTTTTTTTTTTTTGCAGACGCTAGGCCCTTGTTCTTGCTATTTCGCGAACACTTGGCCCTTGTTCTTGATTTTTTGCACACGCTAGGAACTTGCTCTTGCTATTTTGCTCTCGCTAGGCCCTTGTTCTTGCAATTTTGCACATGCTAGGCCGTTGTTCTTGCAATTTTGCACTCGCTAGGCCCTTGTTCTTTTTATTTTGCACACGCTAGGCCCTTGTTCTTTTTATTTTGCACACGCTAGGCCCTTGTTCTTGCTATTTTGCACACGCTATGCCCTTGTTCTTTTTATTTTGCACACGCTAGGCCCTTGTTCTTGCAATTGTGCACATGCTAGACCCTTGTTCTTTTTACTTTGCACACGCCAGGGCCTTGTTCTTGCTATTTTGCACACATTAGGCCCTTGCTCTTGCTATTTTGCACTCGCAAGGCCCTTGTTCTTGCAATTTTGCACACGTTAGGTCGTTGTTCTTGCAATTTTGCACACGCTAGGCCCTTGTTGTTGCAATTTTGCACATGCTAGGCCCTTGTTCTTTTTATTTTGCACACGCTAGGCCCTTGTTCTTGCTATTTCGCGAACGCTAGGCCCTTGTTCTTGAATTTTTGCACACACTAGGCCCTTGCTCTTGCTATTTTGCACTCGCTAGGCCCTTGTTCTTGCAATTTTGCACACACTAGGCCGTTGTTCTTGCAATTTTGCACACGCTAGGCCCTTGTTCTTTTTTTTTTTGCACACGATAGGCCCTTGTTCTTGCTATTCTGCACATGCTATGCCCTTGTTCTTTTTATTTTGCACCCGCTAGGCCCTTGTTCTTGCAATTTTTCACATGCTAGACACTTGTTCTTTTTATTTTGCACACGATAGGCCCTTGTTCTTGCTATTCTGCACACGCTATGCCCTTGTTCTTTTTATTTTGCACCCGCTAGGCCCTTGTTCTTGCAATTTTGCACATGCTAGACCCTTGTTTTTTTTTTTTTGCACACGCTAGGCCCTTGTTCTTGCTATTTCGCGAACGCTAGGCCCTTGTTCTTGAATTTTTGCACACACTAGGCCCTTGCTCTTGCTTTTTTGCACTCGGTAGGCCCTTGTTCTTGCAATTTTGCACACGCTAGGCCGTTGTTCTTGCAATTTTGCACACGCTAGGCCCTTGTTCTTTTTATTTTGCACACGATAGGCCCTTGTTCTTGCTATTCTGCACACGCTATGCCCTTGTTCTTTTTATTTTGCACCCGCTAGGCCCTTGTTCTTGCAATTTTGCACATGCTAGACCCTTGTTCTTTTTATTTTGCACACGCTAGGCCCTTGTTCTTGCTATTTCGCGAACGCTAGGCCCTTGTTCTTGAATTTTTGCACACGCTAGGCCCTTGCTCTTGCTATTTTGCACTCGCTAGGCCCTTGCTCTTGCTATTTTGCACTCGCTAGGCCCTTGTTCTTGCAATTTTGCACACGCTAGGCCGTTGTTCTTGCAATTCTGCACACGCTAGGCCCTTGTTCTTTTTATTTTGCACACGCTAGGCCCTTGTTCTTTTTTTTTTGCTCACGCTAGGCCCTTGTTCTTGCTATTTTGCACACGCTATGCCCCTTTTCTTTTTATTTTGCACACGCTAGGCCCTTGTTCTTGCAATTTTGCACATGCTAGACCCTTGGTCTTTTTATTTTGCACACGCTAGGCCCTTGCCCTTGCTATTTCGTGAACGCTACGCCCTTGCTCTGGCTATTTTGCACTCGCTAGGCCCTTGCTCTGGCTATTTTGCACTCGCTAGGCCCTTGTTATTTCAATTTTGCACACGCTAGGCCCTTGTTCTTGCAATTTTGCACACGCTAGGCCCTTGTTCTTTTTATTTTGCACACGCTCGGCCCTTGTTCTTGCTATTTTGCACACGCTAGGCCCTTGTTCTTGCTATTTTGCACTCGCTATGCCCTTGTTCTTTTTATTTTGCACATGCTAGGCGCTTGTTCTTGCAATTTTGCACATGGTAGACCCTTGTTCTTTTTATTTTGCACTCACTAGGCCCTTGTTCTTGCTATTTCGCGAACGCTAGGCCCTTGTTCTTGAATTTTTGCACACACTAGGCCCTTGCTCTTGCTATTTTGCACTCGCTAGGCCCTTGTTCTTGCAATTTTGCACACGCTAAGCCGTTGTTCTTGCAATTTTGCACACGCTAGGCCCTAGTTCTTTTTATTTTGCACACGATAGGCCCTTGTTCTTGCTATTCTGCACACGCTATACCCTTGTTCTTTTTATTTTGCACCCGCTAGGCCCTTGTTCTTGCAATTTTGCACATGCTAGACCCTTGTTCTTTTTATTTTGCACACGCTAGGCCCTTGTTCTTGCTATTTCGCGAACGCTAGGCCCTTGTTCTTGAATTTTTGCACACGCTAGGCCCTTGCTCTTGCTATTTTGCACTCGCTAGGCCCTTGTTCTTGCAATTTTGCACACGCTAGGCCCTTGTTCTTGCAATTTTGCACACGCTAGGCCCTTGTTCTTTTTATTTTGCACACGCTAGGCCCTTGTTCTTGCTATTTTGCACACGCTATGCCCTTGTTCATTTTATTTTGCACACGCTAGGCCCTTGTTCTTGCAATTTCGCACATGCCCGCCGCCCTACTTCTACGCGGCCCCGCCGCCCTCTGCTACGCGGCCCCGCCGCCCTCTCCTACGCGGCACCGCCGCCCTCTGCTCCGCGGCCCCGCCGAGCCGCCCAGCATCAGCCGAGCCGCCCAGCAGCAGCCGAGCCGCCGCCGAGCCGCCGCCGCCTGAGCCGCCGCCCGGGCCGCCGCCGAGCCGCCGCCGCCTGCGCCGCCGAGCCGGAGCCGCCCGAGCCGCCGCCCAGCCGCCCAGCAGCAGCCGAGCCGCCGCCGAGCCGCCGCCGCCCGAGCCGCCGCTGAGCTGCGACCGAGCCGCCGCCCGAGCCGCCCGAACCGCCCGAGCCGCCCGAGCCGCCCGAGCCGCCCGAGCCGCCGTGCTGCTGTTCCTGAGCTGTGTTCTTCTGCTGCTGACCTACCCGACTCTCCCAGCCCGGTGAGACTTCCAGCTGCTGCCATGGCCACCCCCAATGTTCTTACTTTTGACGCTGAGGGGAGGGCCATTGACTTTGCCGTCTGGATTGAAGACCTGCAGCTGTACTTACGGTGTGATGCGATAGATGAGGTCTCTCTTTTTGTCTTTGTCTCTGGCGCTGTTCCTGCCCCACCTGCTGATGCTGACTCTGCCGTTCGCTCCAAGTGGGCGACCCGCGATGCTGCTGCACGTCTTGCTGTGCGTCGCCACCTCCCTTCCTCTGAGCGTGCCCACTTTAGTCAGTGCAAGACCGCTCAGGCCTTGTACGACGCTGTAGTTGCACGCTACTCCTCCCCTTCCTCCGCTACCCTTAGCCGCCTCATGCTACCGTTTCTCTTCCCTGACCTCGCTTCCTTTCCCACTGTCGCTGACCTCGTTACCCACCTCCGTGCTAGTGACACCCGCTACCGCGCTGCCCTTCCTACTGAGTTCTGCGCTGCGAACCCTCCTCCCATGTACATCACCCTCTACTTTCTCGTCACCCGTCTCCCTGAGTCCCTTCGTGTCGTTAGGGACCAGTTTCTCTCTGTCTGTCCCACCACTCTCACTGTCGACCTCCTTGAGGAGTCCCTGCTAGCGGCTGAGAAGAGTATTGTCGCTGTAGGGGCCTCTCGGGGTGACCCTCGCACCCCCATCTTTGAGGGGTGTGGTCCTTCCCCCCTGCTGCCCTCTGTCGCCTCTGCCGCTGCGGCCGACCTCACTGGTTTTGAGTCGGTCGGCGCGGCGTCTGCCCCCAGCGGCAGACGCCGCTCTGGCAAGAGCAAGGGGGGCAGGGGAGCGGGTGGAGCTCGAGGGGGCGGTGGAGGAGGCGGTGGGGGTGGCGGGGGGAGTGGGGGTGGCGGTGGGGGTGGTGGCGGGAGTGGAGGTACTGGTGGCGGCGGTGGAGGCGGAGGTGGCGGCGGAGGTGGTAGCGGAGGAGGCGGTGGGAGCGGTGGGAGCGACGGTCCTGGTGGGGGAGGTGGCGGCGGAGACGGGGGTGGCGGTGGAGGCGGGGGTGGCGGTGGAGGCGGGGGTCGGAGTGGCTCGTCCCAGCGGAGCAGCTCTGGGGGTGGTCAGCGCCAGCAGCAGCAGCAGCAACAGCAGCACCCGTAGCAGCAGCCACAGCAGCAGCAGCGCTCTCGCACCGTCCCCGGCCCTCAGCAGCTCCGTGAGTGGTACTTGCAGCGTCAGCGTGGTGGTGCGCTTGGTCCCTGCCCCTACGTTCTTCGCACAGGTGACCGTGCAGGGGAGAGGTGTGGAGGCGCCCACACAGCCCGCCGCTGCTTTGGCCGCCTGACCGACGCCTGGCGTCAGCAGTTTCCGGAGGCCGCTGAGATCCCCCGCTGGGGAGAGCTGTCTAGGGCTGGTGTAGCTATTTATGATCTTGATTTTGATGCTATTCTCTCTGCTATGTATACTGTGACTGGTAGTGATGAGGATGACTGTTACCGGTGTTTCCCGCCCGACCCGGGCATTGGTACTGCCGCGTCAGGTACTAGTGAGGCTGCTGCTCTAGGTGCCAGTGCGTCTGTGCTCTCAGGTGCTGGTGAGTCTGCCCTCTCAGGTACTGTGTCGGCTTCGGCCTCTCACACCTTCACCCTTGACTCTGGAGCGTCTCGCTCCTTCTTTAGGGACCGCACCACTCTCACGCCGCTGAGTCGGCCGGTTGCGGTGTCCCTGGCTGACCCCTCTTGGGGGCCTGTCCTGTCTCGCTTCTCCACTGTCCTCCCGTGTCCGGCGGCCCCCTCTGGCACCCTGACTGGTCTCTACCTCCCCTCGTTCTCGACGAACTTGGTGAGTGGTGCTGACCTCCAGGATGCGGGTGTCCACCAGTTCACCCCTGCTCGTCAGCGGGTGACCCACTGCACGGAGGCGGATACAGGTCGCCACCTGGCTACGTTTACACGTCGGCCAGGGTCGAGCCTGTACACACTGACCACTGCTTCTCCTCCAGGTGCTGAGTTTGGTAGGGTCCCTTCGTCTGGTCAGGTGTTTGCTGCAGCGTCCAGGTCTGGTCCTGAGTCTGCCCCCTGCTCGTGTCGTCGTCTGTCTCACGAGACCCTCCTCTGGCACCACCGCCTTGGCCACCCCTCTCTGCTTCGGCTCAGAGGCATGGCCTCGCGAGTCCTTGTGTCTGGTCTTCCCCGGTCTCTCCCTCCCCTTCCTCCGGGCCCTGGCCCTACCTGTGTCCCCTGTGTCGAGGGGCGCCAGCGTGCTGCCCCTCACTCCTCCCAGTTTCCTCCGACAGAGGCCCCGTTGCAGACGCTTCACATGGACGTGTGGGGCCCAGCCCGCGTCCGTGGACAGGGTCACGAGCGCTACTTCCTGCTGGTGGTTGACGACTACTCGCGTTACACCACAGTCTTCCCCTTGCGCAGCAAGGGTGAGGTCACTGCGGTGTTGATCGACTGGATCCGCGCAGCTCGTCTCCAGCTTCGGAGGAGCTTTGGCTCTGACTTCCCTGTTTTGCGTCTGCACTCGGACAGAGGTGGAGAGTTCTCCTCTGGCCTCCTGAGTGCCTACTGTCGTGCACGAGGCATCCGTCAGACCTTCACGCTTCCGGACTCACCACAGCAGAATGGGATTGCTGAGCGCCGCATTGGCATGGTCATGGACGTCGCTCGTACGTCCATGATGCATGCGGCTGCTCCCCATTTTCTGTGGCCGTTTGCGGTCAGGTACGCTGCGCACCAGATCAACCTCCACCCCAGGGTCTCTCGACCGGAGACCTCCCCAGCCCTGCTGTGGACGGGGAAGGTTGGCGATGCGTCGGCGTTCCGGGTCTGGGGATCTCGGGCGTTTGTTCGCGACCTGTCTGCGGACAAGCTGTCCCCTCGTGCTTCTCCCTGCGTCTTCCTGGGGTTCCCCCCCGACGCCCCTGGGTGGCAGTTTTACCACCCCACCTCTCGACGTGTTCTGTCCTCCCAGGACGTCACGTTCGACGAGTCGGTACCCTACTACCGCCTCTTCCCCTACCGCACTCCGTCCCTCCCCCCACCCCCGCTCTTCTTGGTACCAGGTCCCCCCCCGGTAGTCCCCCTCCCCCCTCAGGGTCCTGCCCCTTCAGGTGTGTCCCAGGTAGACGCGGTCGAGCCTGTCGAGGTCACTGGTGACTCTAGTGCTGCTGCGGGAGCTGAGCCTGGGGGTGCGGAGTCTGGGGGTGCTGAGCCTGGGGGTGCTGAGCCTGGGGGTGCTGAGCCTGGAGGTGCCGAGCCTGGGGGTGCTGTGCCTGGGGGTGCTGTGCCTAGGGGTGCTGAGCCTGGGGGTGCTGCGCCTGGGGGTGCTGTGCCTGGGGGTGCTGAGCCTGGAGGTGCCGAGCCTGGGGGTGCTGTGCCTGGGGGTGCTGTGCCTAGGGGTGCTGAGCCTGGGGGTGCTGTGCCTGGGGGTGCTGTGCCTAGGGGTGCTGAGCCTGGGGGTGCTGCGCCTGGGGGTGCTGTGCCTGGGGGTGCTGAGCCTGGAGGTGCCGAGCCTTGGGGTGCTGTGCCTGGGGGTGCTGTGCCTAGGGGTGCTGAGCCTGGGGGTGCTGAGCCTGGGGGTGCTGTGCCTGGGGGTGCTTCGTCTCGCCGGGAGCCACTCTCCCCACAGGAGCTGCGTGAGTGGTTTGCCAGGCGCTGGAGGCGTGCTGCTGGTGCTGGTGGTTCTTCGGCTGCAGAGGGTACTGCTGCCGCGCGTCCCGCCGGTGCTCGTACTGTGGGTGCTGGAGCTGCTGGGTCTGAGAGTTCTCCTGGAGCTGGTACTGCTGAGGGTGTTGCCGCTGAGCCTGCCGTTGGCGGTCCGACTGACAGTGCTCCTGGTGCTGCTGCTGGAGGTTCTGGAGCTTCTGGTGGTGCTGCTGGAGGTGCTGCTGGAGTGGGTGCTCCTGCCGGGGCTGCTGGTGCTGTTCCTGCTGTTTCTAGCGTCGCCGCGCGGCCCCGACCGTACTTCGTTCCGCTCCTGCAGCAGGTTCTTGGTCTTACACCTCCTCCTCCTCCCTTAGAGGGTCCGCAGCCTGTCCGGTCACAGCCACAGCTACAGCCTGCCTCCCCTTTGCCTGCTCCTTCTCCCTACGCTTGTCCGACTGGAGGTCTTACTGAGCGTCGTGAGCCTGCGTCTCGTCCTGTGTCGCCTGTTCGTCCTGAGCGCGCTAGTGGTCGCGGGTCGCGTCAGCGTCCTCCTCCTCTCCCTGGCACGCACCGGATGTCACTTCGTCCGTCCACTGCTCCTCTGCGTGCCCCTTTGCCTTCTCCTCCTACTTCCTCTCTTCCTGCTCTTGCCGACCCGGAGTCGGACTCTCTTCGTGCTGCCAGTCCTACTGTCACGCGTCTCCTTGCTACTGCTGTCACTGACCCTTCCTTCGAGTCGTCTGCTGCGTCTGCCCTTGTCACTGAGCTTGTCGACTTTGCTGCGCGCTGTCGTCTAGACTACGCTGCTCGTCTTGTCACTGAGTCTGAGTCCGCCTGTCCTCCGTCCGTCGGGGGTGAGTGTGCCCTTGGCACGGACGTCCTTGAGGACAGGCAGGAGGAGTTCCAGTGTCTGGCCGCCGCTTCACCTCGTCTCGCGTCTGTACTGCTAGCCCCTGAGGGAGACCCGGATGCACCAGACATCCCGACTCCGCGCTCTTACGCGGAGGCGATAGAGGGTCCCTACTCCTCTCAGTGGCAGGCAGCTATGGATGCAGAGATGGCTTCCTGGAAGTCCACAGGCACCTACGTTGACGCTGTTCCCCCTCCTGGGGCGAACATCGTCAGTGGCATGTGGATTTTCAGGGTGAAGCGGCCGCCGGGTTCTCCGCCTGTCTTCAAGGCGCGTTACGTGGCTCGTGGCTTCAGTCAGCGGCAGGGGGTTGACTACTTTCAGACCTTCTCCCCCACCCCGAAGATGACCACTCTTCGGGTTCTGCTGCACGTTGCTGCTCACCGTGACTACGAGCTGCACTCTCTCGACTTCAGCACAGCTTTCTTGCAGGGCAGCCTGCACGAGGAGATCTGGCTGCGTCGCCCACCTGGCTTCACTGGGTCTTTCCCTCCTGGCACCCAGTGGAGTCTCCGGCGTCCAGTCTACGGTCTCCGCCAGGCGCCACGTGAGTGGCACGACACACTGAGGACTACGCTCGCGGCACTTGGGTTTGCTCCTTCTACTGCCGACCCGTCGCTGTTTCTGCGCACCGACACCTCTCTGCCGCCGTTCTACATCCTCGTGTACGTCGACGACTTGGTCTTTGCCACAGCTGACACTGCTGGACTCGCCTACGTGAAGTCCGAGCTGCAGAAGAGACACACGTGCACTGACCTGGGTGAACTGCGCAGCTACCTTGGCTTGCAGATCACCCGGGACAGAGCACGCCGCACCATTACCCTGACTCAGTCACACATGGTGCAGCAGGTCCTTCAGCGCTTCGGCTTCACGTACTCCTCGCCTCAGGCCACTCCTCTGCCTACTCGCCACTCGCTCTCAGCTCTGCCTTCGGATGAGTCCGTAGAGTCGAGTGGCCCGTTTGCAGAGCTTGTTGGCTGCCTCATGTACCTGATGACCTGCACACGACCTGACCTCGCATACCCTCTTAGCATTCTCGCACGCTTTGTTGCTCCTGGGAGACACCGAGCAGAGCACATGGCTGCAGCGAAGAGGGTGTTGCGCTACTTGTGCAGTACGTCGGGCATGGGGCTAGTGCTTGGAGGGCGCAGTCCAGTGGTCCTCACTGGGCACGCAGACGCTTCTTGGGCTGACGACCAGGCTACGCAGCGGTCGTCACAGGGTTACACCTTCAGCCTTGGTTCCGGCTCTGTCTCGTGGCGGGCTACCCGCTCGTCTTCTGTTCTTGGCTCCAGTTGTGAGGCTGAGATCTACGCTGGGGCTATGGCTGCACAGGAGTTACGCTGGCTCACCTACCTGCTGACCGACCTTGGAGAGCAGCCTCGTTCTCCTCCAGTCCTGTACGTAGACAACAAGGCCATGCTGGCCTTGTGTCGAGAGCAGCGACTGGAGCACAGAACGAAGCACATTGCTCTCCGCTACTTTCTTGCTCGTGAGCTACAGCAGCGTGGACAGTTGCGACTTGCGTACGTGGCCTCTGAGGCCAACACTGCTGATGTCTTCACCAAGGCACTTGCGCCTTGTGATCATCAGCGTTGTTGCACGCAGTTGGGTCTTGTGCCTGCCTTGCCTCACTTGCTCTCCTCTTGACCTTGCTTGTACCTTCGCCTATATATACTCTTGCTCTTGCTTGCTTGACTCTTGTATATCTCTATATATGATCTTGCATGTGAACTGGCCTTCTGGCCTTTGAACTTGTGCTCGAAATGCGTGGTGACTTTGTGATCCACCCTGAGCTTTGCTTTGCTTTGCTTGACTGGTCTTGTGACCCCTTGTTCTCCCCCACTTTGCCTATGGGGGTGTGTCAGAACATATAGCTTACTTGTTTCTGTAGGCTATAGTGGGGTATCCCAAAGGGGGT